AAAAAAAAAAAAAGATTCACCAAGTGTTCTAATAGAATCCTTTTTGTAAAATGATCTAATTTAGAATCACATATTTGACTTATTTGCCATATCTCTTCAGTCTCCCTCAATCCCAGTCTATTTCTTACAGAAACACTTTCTTATATTTTCTGGATTTTGACAGTTTTGATGATTATGAATCATTGATTTTATAGAACAAATCAGAGCAAATTTGGGTTTGTTTGGTGTTTCTTCATAATTAGATTCAGGTTATGCATCTTTGTCAGGAACATCTAAGAAATGCTATGATCTTACTATATGTTTATCAGGTGGCACACAGTTTCAATTTGTCCTCTTGATGTTCACTGTGGTACTTGATTACGGTAGAGTCTTATTGGCATCTCTACTTATATAGAGTAATTTTTCTCTTTCTACTTATTTTCTGGAGATATGCTGTAAATACCCTGTTTATCATCATACTTCTGATTTGTTTAGATCAGTATGGAATTATGAGTTGCTATTCTATTGTGTGGGTTATATCTTTTACTCCCATTATTAATTTTTATGCTCCAACATAATTTTGCCAAGTGGGAGTCTTTTCAGGATGACTTTTATGTTCTTTTCCCATGCCCTCATTATTCTTGAGTGCAATTTTTCTTTCTGCCACAGGATATTCTAGGCTTCTCTTATACTCTCCTGTCCCATTCCTAGAATTAGCTGTTTCTCCAAGGAAGTCTTCATTCATTCATAGAAAATGTTCTTCAGAAGCCAAGGTCCACTTGCTAGGTATGCTTACTGCTTTTGGAATATCATTGCTTCCAAGCTCTGTCAGTGGACAGAACTGGGAAATATAGGACATACATATGCACATAGCTACACATTTATTTCTATATTTATTTTTATATTTGTCTACATTTGGAAACTGAATTTACACTGAGAGCTCCAATTTCAGTCTAACAATAAAAGGTTTAGTTCTAGCTTCTCTCTTTTAGTATATATTATTCTTTGACAGTGATAAATCTGGCTTCTACTATCCTATTTATTTATTTAATCAGTCCTGTTATTGTATGTATTCTTCAATCTCAGCCATCCCCTCTCCTATGCAGTGCTCTTTTTCTACTTTTGGCTATGATAACCTATCCCAGGCCACTGCCACATGCCAGATTACTCTTACTCTTTTTGCCTTATTTGGTATCTGATATCCTATTCTGAGCTGTCCCTCTTCAAAGACGCCTTCCTTACCTCCTTGACTCTAATACGCCTTGGTAGACTACACTGCGCACCTCATTTGGACTCTGTAGTATCAATCCCCTTCCTGCTCTTCCTCACCTTTTTAATGTGTTCCAAGTTTTATGGAAATCTATCATTCCATTGGCATAAATGTGGTATTTATACAGCAGTACATGTGGAAATACAACATTTCTTTTACATGGTTGTCCAGATAGTTGGAATTTTGTATAGAAGTTGCATCCCTCTCCTTCTGAATTTGAAGTTGTTGGGGTTTTTTGGTTTTTTTGAGACAGAGCCTCAAGCTGTCACCCTGAGTAGAATGCTGTGGCATCACAGCTCACAGCAACCTCCAACTCCTGGGCTCAAGCGAGTCTCCTGCCTCAGCCTCCCAAGTAGCTGGG